TATATATATATATATATATATTCACTTATAGTTGACATACAATATTACACAACATCAGCTTCAGGTGTACAGTACAGTGATCAAGCCTCTTCCCCATCCATGATGCAGCCTCCCTAGCAAGACATGTGAGAGGCAGTGTCCATCTTATCTCCACTGGCAACAGAAGAGCTGAGGCGCTCACCCTGATGTGTGGCCACACAAGGTCTGGAAACCTCATCATAACATCACCTTCCCAAGGGCGGGTCCATGTCCCCACTGCCTTCATTTCTCCGCCCCTTGTGGCTGCCGTCAGCCATCAGCCATTATCCCAATCCCCCTCTCAGCCTCCCCCAGGCCTCATGAGCACCAGCAGGAAAGGCTAACCCTAGAGATAAATGCGAGCTGTTGGAATGTGTTCAGATATCACTATGGAACTGGTTCTCTCTAGGCAGAGGACCTTGCCTGGCAAGCAGGCCCAGCGGTGCTGAGCAGAGACTGTGTGTCTGAGGGTGAACACATTGGCATGGTGGGGGAAGAGCTGGACTGAGGCCTCGCTCATCTTGAAAGACGCTAACTCTAGCTTTCATGACATCTTCCTCTGTCCATCTTAGACAGAGAACTGGGCTTCCTACCTCAGTCCCAACACCAGGGGAGACAGCAGAGGACAGAAGTGGCTTATGTGTTGGGAGTCTCCTCAGTTCCAAAAGAAAGATTCACTTTGCGTTTTAACTAAAAACTCTTTTGACTGAGTGGAGGAATCAAAGACTCTAGTCATAAAAAGCTCCTTGACTTTGGGAGTCTTCAAACAGAGTGCCATTCTCCCCACGTATAGACAGAGCAACTGAGGCCAAAAGAGGTTGGTCTGTATGGTGATGGAATGAAGTCTCCCTGTTTCCAAGATAATCTCTTGCTACAGCCTACCTCTGCAGAGAGCAGGAGGGGTGTGCCCTAAAGTGGACTACTGAGATGACTAGTAGAGCAAGGGAGTGAAACTGGTAGTTTCCCATCCACAGTCACCATCCCTTTTGCCCAGAGTGCTAACTTAGTCACCACTTCACAGCCTTAACTTCTTTACAAAGTCACCCGGCTGCAAGACCAGGCTGCCAGTTATGCAAATGCTAAAACTGTTTGGAGGGGGACAGGAGGAAGGTGTCAGAGGAAGAAATAGCAGTACAGGAAGTCCTTACTTAACATTGTGGTGGGTTCTGTGACTTTAAGCAAAAAACACTTTTACTACAGGTTGATTGATATAAA